CAAGCCCCCCCCCACCTCCACCCTCAGCATGGCCGCAGCCACAGCGCTGTGTGGCTCGGGGGCAGGAGAACCATGCAGCATCCCCTTCCCAGGGGCTCTTAGGGCCAGCCGGGGGATGCTGAAGAAGCACCCAGCTATAAGGGGCTCTGGGCTGAGGGCCGCCTCTGGCCGGGGCCAGGCCAGGAGCTGCCAGGAAAGAGGCAGGAGCAAGGGGAAAGGGTGAGGGACCAGCCTGGCTCCCTGGGGGCAGCAGGGGAGGGGGAGAGGAGCATGCAGGGCCAGGGACACGCGTGGGCACAGCTGAAGTCCCACCCCTCACACGTGGGAGAAAGCGTGGCTCTTGCAGAGCGGCTTGTCCTTCTTGGAGTAGAACGTCTTCCCTTCCAGGTTGGTCTGGCAGATCTGGGGATAAGAGCGCAGGCGGTCAGGTCAGGGGAGGGCTGAGCTGAGCCAGCCCCCGGGTCCCCCCCTGCACGACCCAGGGCTCAGCACCAGCATCGCACAGATGTAAAAGAGCAGCAGGTTTAGAGCAGGGGCCTGAGTCACCAGCACAGAGCCAAGCAGGGAAAACCTGGTGGCAGCAGGGACCCCACGCTGCTGGTGTACCCCATGCAGGGCACAACTGCCAAGGAGAACCACGGCCCCCACCAGCAGCCGGGGAGGAAGGTGCAGACTGCTCACCGCACAGACGAAGCAAGTGTCGTGCCAGCTGAACCCCAGCGCCTCCAGGAACCGGTCCCCAGCATCAATCTTGAAGTCACAGCCGCGGCACTTGGTGCCAAACATCTTCTCATAGTCTGCAAGGAGAGGCAGAGCCCAGGTCAGCGTTCTGCCAGACCGCAGCCCCTCGTCCCAGCACAGCAGGGCTGCAGCACAGCCAGGATCCCACAGGAACAGTCTGGGGACAACTTGCTGCCAGCCCCAGGGGGACAATGCCCGAGACACCCGTGCAAGATGCCAGTGCCATGTAGGGTGCTCCTGGCTGCCACCAGGGTGGCAGGGAGGAGGCAAACCTCATCTCCCAGGATGCAGCACTCGCCTTTGATGTACATCCTCTGTCATTGCCATGGCAACATAGGAGGGATGGCACTACCCAGCAGCCGGGGAAGACCGGGATGGAGGGCTTGGGGCCACGGGAGGCGGGTCCCTGCCTTCCCTGTGGCCCTGGGAGAGGCCGGCAGCACAGGGCAGCTCACCCCCCACCCCATTAGCAGGTGCTGAGCCCCAACACTGCCCGGTGCCACGCAGGGTGGTACTGGAGTCCTCAGGTCCTACCTCTCTCGCAGTAGGGTTGTCCCTCCTCCATGTAGAAGGCACGGTTGCGGATGGGAGTTTTGCAGGCAGCACAGGTGAAGCACTGCACGTGCCAGGTCATCTTCAGTGCGTGCATGACCTCCTGGGGGGGGAACTGCTGTCAGCCGGTGGCAGGACTGCCCTGCACCACTGGAGACCCCCCTCCCAGGGCAGAAAGGGACAAGGGATCCCTGGGGATGAGATGAGGATGGGAAGGGACAGAGTTGGGAACCCATAGGTGAGCAGGGACAGGAGGTGTGGGACAGGCTGAGGGACACTCACCCCGGTGATCTTCTTCTTGCACTTGGCGCAGCTGGGCGCGTAGCGTGTGTCATAGCACTTAGGGCAGAAGATGGAGCCCTTCTCCTCGAAGAAGCCACCCTCATCCAGCACCTTCCTGCACTGGCAGCAGGTGAACTCCTCGGGGTGGTAATAATGTCCCAGTGCCACCAGGTAGCGTCCCCTGCAGCAGGACAAAGCCACATCAGCCACACTGGTGCTCAGGACACCGGCACGGTGGCCGTGGTGGCCAGGGCTCACCTGATGACCTTGTTGCACTTGTAGCAGAGGGGTGTGCGGCCGGGCCCTTCGGGGGCCTGCTGCGCCGCCTGGACGATGGAGCTGCGGTTCTGCATGGGGGTCGGCGTGGCCGGCTGGCTGTGCTTGCTCACCACTGTGCTCGTCTTGTCTGGGGCATAGCGCTCAGCAAACGAGGGGTCCACAGCCCAGGGTGGGCGGCTGGCAGGGCCGGGAGTGGCGGCAGGGGTCCTGGGGGCTGCACGCACATGCAAGTATCCAGGATGGTGCTTCCTGATCCCTCGGCAGCCCACTCCCAGCAACCGCGGTTGGACAAGCAGCATCCCCCAGCACCCTCGTCCCTCTCCCTCTGAGCCCAGAAGAAACGTTTTGCTCACCCAGTCCTGGCTCTGTCTTCATCGCTGCTCCTGGGGACGGGTCCAGCACGGAGACCTGGCTACAGAACAAGTAGTTAATCCAGCCTGCCCCACTCGCCCCCTCTGCCCAGCGGGCCTGTGTGTGCAGGCAGGGGCCCCCCACCCCAACAAGCAGGCAGGAGCCGGCCAAGCCCCCGTGCCCAGCCAGTAGCTGGTTTGGTGACAGGGGACCAAGCCGAGCGCCTTCAGCCCTGTGGAGACGCAGCACCCCAGGGGCTCTGGCCGCCATCACGGTGGTCTGGGGAGCAGTGGGACGGAACGCAGGCCTGCCAGGGCCCCGCACCCAGCTCTGGGCTGCTCCAGGCTGACCAGGGAAACCCTGGGATCAAGCAGACCCCAGCTGCCCACTCACACACAATGGTTGCCCCCAGCCTGACTGGGGCGCAAAGGGGCTTGGATCTGACCCCGTGCAGGGAGCCCCCAGGCCCAGCTCCGCCAGAGCTGGGGACAAGCAGGGCTCTGCCATCCCTGCTGGCTGGGCAGGGCCAGGCTGGTCCTGGGCAGGGGGCAAGCCCTGTGCCCCCCATCAGGTTGCCAGCACTGGGCTTGGGAACAGGCAGGGCAAGCCGGGGCCAGACAAGCACAGCCCACCCGAGATAGGGGACAGGGACAGAAGGAGAGCTGGTGGCTCTGCACCTCTGCAGGGCAAAAGCGAGAAGCAGATGGCTACAAATACAGCAGCATTTATTTGTGGCAGAGGAAACTGGGCAGAGCTGGGACCCAACGGTCACAGTGCCAGGGCAGGAGGCATCGCGGAGAGGTAAAGGCAAAAGAGGAGCTGTGCACAACCCTGCCCAGCTGCACGGGGCAAGGAATGGCTCCCCAGTGTCAGCTCCCTTCCTTGATTCCACGCAGCACCGGGCACTCACAGAGAAGCCAGCGGCACTCACCCAGCTCTGCCTGGCCACCCCACAGCCCCACGTCAGGCTCACGGGACATCGCACCTCCGGTGCAGACAATGCCCAAACATCAAACACCCACAGGTTTTCCCAGTGCCACCAGCAGCACCCAGCCGCTGTGTGCAGGACACTATGGCATCCCCAGCTCAGTGTCAGCAGTGCCCAGAGGCTGGCAGCCCTGTGGCTCCTGCTACTGGCCCTGGCACACACTCCCCTTACCTGGGCTTTTTAACAAACACATCATCATGATCCTCCACTGAGCGCAGCGGGAGAGAAAGGAGGACACACAGTCAGTCTGCAGCAACCAAGGCGCAGGGGAAGTGGGAAAGGGAGGGAAGGGCAAGGAAGAAAAAACACCTCCTCCCACCGCCCTCTTTCCCAACGCACAGCCCTGCCTGACGACAGGGCAGATGACGGTCCCAGCCCAGCAGCACCAACACGAGCCCACGTTCAGCACAGGGCAGCTCTCATCGGCTCAGTCTCCCCCAAGGGGCCACACAAGGCCAAAACCAACACACTATTGTCACATCACCTGTGGCCTCTACTGGGCTCCGAATGCCCTGACAAAGCGAGACACCCCCGGGCAGCCAGGCAGCACCGGGCCCTGCGGGAACTTACTGCCGTCTGTGCCCGTCAGCCGGGCCAGTTTGCGGAAGGAGCGGGACTGCGAGGTCCCGGTGCGGGGCTGCCAGTCCGCAGCATCCTCTATCAGACGCAACTTCCCGGGGTCACACACGGGGGTTGTAGGGGGCTCCAGCAGCTGCGGGGGCTGCCTGCGAGTGACAGAGTGCAGGTGCTCAGCCAGCACCATGCATGGACCCTGCTTTGGCACAGGGCAGCGCTCCCAAAGGCGCCCTTGCACACAGCGACCCCTTGCCAGACCCCAGCACTCACCACGGCTCCCCTGTGCCCCAGCTGGACCCACGGGCATCCCTGTGGCATGGAAGAAACGGCGGCACAACAGTCAATTACACACCCTCAGCCCCACGGAGGCATAACCCCACAAAGATGCCGGCAGCATTCATTCCAAACCAGCCTTGCAGTTGCCCCACAGGACTTCATGCCCCAGGTCCAGACACTGCCCAGCACCTCCCAACACGCCCACCAAGGTGCCACCAGTGCCACCACAGGGCTGCCAGGAAGGCTGTCCCAAAATTGACAGTGATCCCAACAACCCACAGTGGACAACTGTCCACTGTCTCCAGGACACCTCGGTGTAGCTAAGCATTGGTGCAACAAGTGCCCAGTGGGCAGGAAGGCTGTCCCAAAATTGACAGTGATCCCAACAACCCACAGTGGACAACTGTCCACTGTCTCCAGGACACCTCAGTGTAGCTAAGCCTTGGTGCAACAAGTGCCCAGTGGGTCCTGCCCGGCACGGGGACAAGCCAATGTAAAGACACCCCAGCTGGGGACAGCCAGCCTGGCAGATGGGTGCCCGGGCAGGACCCTTCCGAGGTGATGGTCAGAGCAGTGGCTGAGTGCTGGTGGTGCCCCTCACAGGGAGAGTGCAGAGCACGCTCTGCCAACAGCTCGGCTCTGGTGAGAGGGAGAGGACAGAGAGGGAACGGAAAGAAGGAGAAGGAGGAGAGAAGAGAAGAAACAGCAACAGGGCAAAGTGCTTTCCCTGTGTCACCGCAAGCAGCCAGCGCGAGGACAAGACAGCTGAGTTGGCTGAGCCACGGGTGGGCAGCCCCACGGCTCCTGCTACCGCCCTGGCACACGCTCCCCTTACCTGGGCTTTTTAACAAGCTCATCCTCATGATCCTCCACTGAGCGCAGCAGGAAAGAAAGGAGGAGACAGTCAGTTTGCAGCAACCGAGGCCCAGGGACAGCGGGAAAGGGAGGCAAAGGGGGAAGACCAACCTCACCTCCTGCAGAACTCCCACCCCAACACCCCAGACACACACTCCGGCCCAGCCACAGGGCAAAACACGGCCCCATGCCACGCACAGCCCCAGGCAGCTCACACCAGCTCAGACTGCCCAGAGGGCTTACATGGGGCTGAAATCAAGCCCCCAGTGCCACATCACCCCACAGCCTCTACCGGGTTCTGCCTACGCTGGCAAAGTATGGCAACACCAGCCAACACTGGCAGTGCCAGGCCCTGCGGGAACTTACTGCTGTCTGTGCCCGTCAGCCGGGCCAGTTTGCGGAAGGAGCGGGACTGCGAGGTCCCGGTGCGGGGCTGCCAGTCCGCAGCATCCTCCA